GGGGGGGGGGCAGCAGATGCCTTCTCTGGGCCTGGGGTCAACTCCCTGAGGAAGGAGTCGGGAGAGGGATGGGCTGTGGGGCGAGGAGCTGGGTCCCTTCCCTGCCCTCCCCCAGTCCTGACCCTCTGTTCCAAGTGGTTGGCAGAGGCCATGGCAACTCCATCATAAATATGATAATTTAATTATTTTCTCAGCAAAACACCGTGAAATCCAATAAGTCTGTGTCAGGCCCTGGCCCCCGGGACCCCCCTCCTAGGCCCAGTGGGGGTGGAGAGAGGCGCTGGAAGGCGAAAGGGTCAGTGTTTGAAGTGGGGCGGGGTGGCTAGTGTAGCTGAGATCTTTTAACACGCCCCCTCCCACCAGGCTGGCAGAGTCCCTGTTGTGTGGTCCTGTGGAGGTGGGGGGCGGTCTGAGGAGTCCTAATGCCCTCCACTCCTCTCCAGCCCTTGTCTGCCCCGGGAAGGACCTAGCACCCCATCCATCTCTGAGGGCACAGCTTGGGGCCCAGGATGTGGGAGCCCACTTCTCTGCCACATCTAGGTCCTCAATGGCCCTGTAGGGGTAGGAGGGTGCTGGCCCCCAAAGGGTTTGAGAAGGGAGAACCAAGGGAACTGTGGTGGGAAGTGGGGGATGAGCGGGGGAAGGGATGCGGGGGAGGGGTGCGCTCCTGCCATTAGTGCTTTTTTAGGTTTCCATAAAAAGATTATTCTGTAAAATCAGCGAGGGGGAGCAAGCTGGGGGCTGGGGAGGGGGGCAGATCCCTGGCACCGAGCTGGATGGGGCGATGGGAGGAGGGCTGGGGACGGGGACTGAGCTTGGAGAGAAATTTGGATGGGCTTCAGGAGCCAGCGAGGGGGAGAAGCTGAGCCAAGAACAGATTGGGGGGAGTTTGGCCGGGGTGGGGTGGAGTGGGGGCAGGGCCCTCATCTCCCTCCTGTCCCTTTGGCAGGGCTGACCTGGGCCCCAGTCCCACCCCCATCTCCATCCCCTCCCCCTGGCGCTCAGCAGCCATTACTGGGGGAGCAGATTGAGGCCCCCTCCCCCCCCTCCGGGAAGCAGGCACAGCTGGGGCCCTGCCACATCTGCCGCATCAGCACGGAGCACAGCTGGGTGTGCCCAGAGCCACGCTCCCAAAAACACAGAGGGGAGGGCGGGGGCCGAGGAGAGCCCAGACCCCTGAGACAGACACACTGACACCTCTGCCAGCAGACACATACTCCTCGAGGCGAAGCTACACCCACCACCACCACACTCGCTCCCTCCTGTGCAGACAGGAGAACTGAGAAACACACAATTACTCTGCCCCGCCTGCCACCCCCGCTCCCCTCCCCCCGCCCCTTCTTCCTCCTCCCCTTCCTTCCCTCCGGGCTCCCCTCTGCTGCCTTTGCCACCTCGGCTCTTCAGGAGGGAGCAGGGGCCTCCCCCTTCTGGAGCACACCTTTCTGGGAGGCTTGGCGAACAAGAGGGCAGGAGGTGGTAAGGGGCTGTGGGTCTGAGCCGTGAGCCTGGGCAAGCCACTGCCCTCCCTCCATGCCCATACTGCTCCCCACAAAGAAATCCCCTGTGAAACATTGGTTCCTGCCACACTGGGTGTGATGGGGTCTCCATCCCAGCACCGGCTGGCAGAGCACCCTTGACTGTGGCTCCCCGTGACGGTGTTCCATCTGCCACCTCAAGGAGGCGCTGCGTGCCCTCCGTTCTGTGGCCGGGAGCTTCCAGGCTCCCAGGGCCGGCCCCTGCCATTCCCACTCACCCCATCTGCCGTGCACCCCTCTGCTTAGCTCTGCTACCCTTGGCACGTGCAGGGCATGGGGGCTCGCCAATAGTGGGAAAGTCCCCACCCCCATGAGATGATCAGGAGCCCCTTCTTTCCTCTCTTTGCCAGGCGATAGCCACCTTCTGGGCCCCCGGTTTAATCTTACCCCCTTCACAGCCCTCATTTCTCCTGCTCGTCTTGGCCCCGATGTCCTGCCCTCGGCCCTCTCCTTCCTGCCCCCCCCCCCCCTTCCCCCCCGCCCCCCCCCCCCTGCCCCTCAGAGCTTTAATCCCTCCTGCTGCTCAGCCGCCTTATCTGCTCCCAGCAGCTTTCACTGCTGCAAAGCCCTCTCCCCCTCCTTCTCTGGATCTTCTCCCCCTCCTTTCCCGGCTCCCTCTTCTCTCTGACCAGCACCCCCACTCCCAGCATGTCTCTGCCTCTCAGGCCCCCAGGATGGCTCCTGACCGACACCAAATTTGCACCCCAGTGCCCTTTGCCCTCTCTCCGGGCTCTGTTCTGAGGTTGCCGCGTGCCCACCCACTCCCACACTGGTCCTTTCCTCCCCCAACCGCCCCCTGAAGGCCCCACGGACTCGGGCAGTTTCTGCCTCGCTAAGATTTTTCCCTCTTTCGTCTTCCCTTTCTGGTCCTCTCCTCAGTTCCTCCAGTCGCCTGCCCTTCGATCTTGGACCCGGTGCCCTTCAGCCCCAGTGATCCAGGGCCTCAGCTTGGGCATCCCCCGTAGAGGAAGGGGTCAGGCCGGGCTGGCCCGAAGATGGGGTAGGGGGTGCAGAGTGCTGGCCAGCAGTGGGGGCAGGGCCTGGCAGTGGGACGCTAACCCTCTTCAGTTGCCTCAGATCACGTCCGGGCCTCCCCACCCCCCTTCGCTGGAACTCTCATTAACCGCTTCTCCTGCCTCGTCCGCGGCATAAATAACCCAGATAAATCAGCCGCCGTCCGCCCCCCCGCCCCTCGGCCCCCGCACAGCCCGTTTGTCACCGCTGCTCGCTCACCAGCCAGGCCTGGCCCAGTCCCGGCCTCCGCCCCCCATCCTTGTCCCTTCCCGCCCACGTTTGCCCCACACTAGCTCATCCCTCGGTCCACACCAGAGCCAGGGCTGGGACAGGTGTCTGGCTGGGAGGGGTGGCCGGGAGGTGTCGTCCTCTGGGAGCAGCGGGAGGCTGGGGACTCTCCCTAGGAGAATGCTAGGAGTTTGAGGGTCATGTCGTTTATGAGTGGGCCACCCAGGAAGGGAGGTGAGAAGGGGCAAATGCAGACGGTGCACCGGGGGTGGAGGAGGGGGGCTTTGCTGGGAAAAAGGCAAAGTCCCAAAAGCCTGGGTGCAGTAAGGACCTTGGAGGCTCCCTTTGGAACCCCCAAGCTGGATCATGGGAGGTCTCTGGGTCTGCCTTTGAGGCATTTTGCCCAAATAAAACCTGCACTTCCTCAGGTGCTCTGGCAGAATGCTCCTGCCCTCCCTGTCTCCTCCCTCACCCTTCTGTCCCCCATTCCCAGGCTCTCTGCCTTGTCTGGCTGTGCAGATGCCACTCTAATCTCTCTGCCTGCCGCTCCATCCACCACCATCGGGAAGCCTCGTTCACCTCTGGGGCATGGGGCTGGGTGGAGAATTGGACCGGGAACAAATCTGGGGAATGGGGACAACTGGAGAGCCGAGGAAGCCTGGCCCTGCAAGCCCCCTCACCCCTGTGCCTCTCCTGTGCCCCACACCCACTCCTAGCCCGAGTCCCTGACAGACCCTCCCCCCTCTGCTCACACCCAGCTCAGGTCGCGACCAACCTCGCTTGGCCCGGATGCTCACTGCAGAGGGGCAGCTGGTCCCAGGGGAGTAGGTGGGGGAAGCCAGGAGGGGGTGGGGGGAGTTTGGGCGCAGGGCTGGGGGTGGGGGTGGGGAAGAAGCTGGGCCGGGCCCCAGGGACCAGCTGGGCAATGAGCCGGGGAAGCAGCCGGGAGGCTAAATGAGGGAGATTATCACCCAACTGCAGCCGGGCAGAGAGGGAGGCAAGCAGGGAAGTGGGGAGAGGGAGGGGGGGAAGGACGGGGGGCCAGAGGGGAAGGGGGTGTAGGGGGACAGGGGGGCAGAGGAGACAGAAGAGACTGGAGGGTGAGGTGCAGGATGGGCGGAGGGGATGTGGGAGGGGGCTCCCACCAAGCATAACCGGATTCCTAGGGGTCTGGGAGCCTGGGTGATGGGGACCTGGGGACAATTGGAGACAGCTGGCTGTGGGGCAGTTGCGGGGGGGGTGAGTGCAGTGAACTGCTGTTCCAGTTCCGAGTGGCCTGGAACTCCTCTCTCCACCCACCCCCCAACTTCATTCCTTCAGAGGCTTCCTACCATGCCCTCCGGAGGAAAGAAGGTGTGATTTGGGCTGATGATGGAGACCAGTATATTAGGGGAGTATTGACCCCGTGATCCCGGTGGATCTCAGGGCAATTTAGGGACATGCGCTGAGCGCAGGGTAGCACCGAGTACTGGGGAGAGCTCGGGGGGCAGTTCCCCGCTTTCTTGGCAGAGTCCCAGACTGAAGTAACCTTAAAAAAGCAATTAAATCACCTTAAAAAAAAAAACAGTAAAGAAAAATCAATACTAGGAGAAAGGGGGGGAGGCTGGGAGAGGAGGAGGTGGGGCGGAAGCACTAAAGGGTCTGGGAATCTAGCAGGGAGGGCAGAGCATGGCAGGGGGCTGCCCGGGTAGGGGCCACTGTCTGTGGTCACTTGGAGGCTCTGAGGGCTAACTCAGTGGCTGCTTCCCGTGCCTTCCCCGCTTTTTCCCTCTAGGACGCTGCCAGCCCTAGCCCTTACCCCAGGGGCCTCCTCTTCCCAGCTGGGGGGAGACTGCTTGTGGGGGAAGCCCAGCCGCAGCCCCCCCCACCTCAGAAGCTACTTTGGAGAGAGGCTGGGGACCACCCCAGCAGGGTGCCACGCATGGCCGGGGCTGGTGGGCTCCATGCTGGGGTGAGCGGTGCCCGATGAGGCCTGACCTGGCCTGGCTTCGCAGCCAAGGTGGGCAGTGACAGATTCCCTGCTCCCCAGGGTAGCCGCCCCTGGGCCCCTCCTCTGGGTCCAGGCGGGGGCTGCGACGGGCGGGGCAGGCCTGACGCAGGGGAGGGGTGGCCTCTGGGCAGCGGGCGGACCTGGGGCTCTAATCCCCAGCAGCTGCCGTTTCCCTCAGATCGATTCCTTTCTCACTTTTTTTTCAGCTGCTGGTTCCGCGGCTCGGATCGATGGAGCCGCCTCCCCCGCCCCTCTGAGCTTCCTCTCCCTGCTGCTCATTAGCACCCCGATTAATCAGTCCCCCCTTTCGTCTGGGGGACAAGTGCTTCCCCCCCCGGGAGGGCCCACGCTCCCCCCCCCCCCCCCCCCCCGCCCCAGAACACAAGTTGCTCACTGTAACCACTCCACCCTGGGAGCACCAAGGCATTTCCTCCTGGGCTGCCAACTGGGGACCCACCCCTGCCTGTGAGAACAACCCACATGTCTGCTTCCCCTCCGCAAGCCAGCAGCCAGGCCAGGGCTCCCCTGCCCTTCAGTCCGGCCACCCCTTGCTTCTGCTTCTGCTTCTGGGCTAGTGCTCCCTCCCATTCAAGCCCGCACATTTCTCCTCCTTCCCAAATCCCCATGTGGGCTCTCCCTCTCCCTCCATTCCACACCGTCTCCCCCACCCGTCATACCTGGTCTCTGCTCCCTGGCCTGTTCACCCCACACACTCCCCCCACCCCCAGCCCGGCTTGGCAGGGGATTTGAGAGACGTTTGGATCAGCCAAATGGCCACAGATGTGTAAGGCAGCCAGGGCGTCCTGTCCCAGACCCGCGAGTGACTGAGTTTGGGGGGCCGGGAGGGGGCGGCCACCGTCCCAGGGCAGGCGGGGGCACGGGGGGGTGTCGAAGTTGGGAGCAAAGCTCCAGGGAAGCCAAGCATCTTGGTGGCGCCACTGTGGTCCCCTTGTCTGTCTTGCCTGCCCTCCTCTGCCCTCCCCTCCCTCATTCTAACAAGTGGCTCTGCCAAGGAGTTTCTGGAAGCCGCCGTGAGTAGGGTAGTGGGGGCAGGTGGTGGCTGGGTGCTGGAGTCAGGAGTCAGGAAGGTGGGGGGTGGAGTTGGCTGACCCTTCCCGGGTGTGGTCCCGAAAAGTGGCAGAAGGAGCCGAGGCCTCTGGGTGCAGATGTCCTCCCTGGGTGGCCTGGGAGTGGGGCCGTCTGGGGACCCCACGAGTGCCTAGGCTGTAGCAAGAGTTTGGGGGGGCAGCCCGACGAGGTCTGGGGCAGGGGCCCAGGGATCCCTGTCCTGGGCCCGGGGAGGGGGGGGGGTTGTGGGGGTGCTGCCCCCCCGCCCCTGGCCTGGCTCCTGCTGCCAGAGGCGCCGGTGAAGCGCTGTTGACATGTCCTGAATTATTAAGCACGGGGTGGGCTCCGGAGCACATGCTGAGCGGCGCGGCTGGGGCTGCGCGGCGTGGCGGAGCGGCGCTCACTCCCTCGCTCGCTCGCTCGCAGGGACACACGCAGGGGCTGACAGCTGTGCTGGTGCTGATAAGGAAGCCACAAGGAGCCGATCGAGGAGAGAGACAAGCAGCAGCTGAGGCAGCGGCGGCAGGGCTGCGGAGCTGCTGGGAGTGGGAGTGACTCCCCCACCTCGGGCCCCCACCCTGTCCCTGTCCTCCTCCCGCTTGCCCTGAGTTTCAAAGAGCGGCCGCTGCCACCGCCGCCACTCCGGAGGGAAACTGGGGGGGGGGGCCCGCTGGCCAGGGAGGGACAGGGGCAGGGAGGCTCCGGCCACAGTCCCAGCAGCCGGGGACAGATGCCGATCGAGATTGTGTGCAAAATCAAATTTGCAGAGGAGGATGCGAAACCCAAGGAGAAGGAGGCAGGGGATGAGCAAAGCCTCCTGGGGGCTGCACAGGGGACAGCAGCCCCCCGGGACCTGGCCACCTTTGCCAGCACCAGCACTCTGCACGGGCTGGGCCGGGCCTGTGGCCCAGGCCCCCACGGACTGCGCAGAACCCTGTGGGCACTGGCCCTACTCACCTCGCTGGCCGCCTTTCTGTACCAGGCTGCCGGCCTGGCCCGGGGCTACCTGACCCGGCCTCACCTGGTGGCAATGGACCCTGCCGCCCCAGCCCCAGTGGCAGGCTTCCCGGCGGTCACCCTCTGCAACATCAACCGCTTCCGGCACTCGGCCCTCAGCGACGCCGACATCTTCCACTTGGCCAACCTGACGGGGCTGCCCCCCAAAGACCGGGACGGGCACCGTGCCGCCGGCCTGCGCTACCCGGAGCCCGACATGGTAGACATCCTCAACCGCACTGGCCACCAGCTTGCCGACATGCTCAAGAGCTGCAACTTCAGTGGGCATCACTGTTCCGCCAGCAACTTCTCCGTGGTGAGTCCTGCCAGCTGGCACGCCCGGCCTGGGGTGGCCAGAGGCTGGTGGCGGGGGCGGGGGGGCGAGGGGGGGTGCACAGGGGCATCTTCCACAGGGCTTCCCTTCCTTCCGCCACCAGAGGCTGGCCTCGTGTTCTCCCCCGAGCCCGGGTGTTGCCGTCGGGCTTCCCGGCCACGGAGCAGGGGACACTCCTCGGGGCTTACCCTGCTGCTGCGGCGGCTCCTCTTCTTGGTGGTGCAGTGCCCAGGTCTGGGGCCGGGGGGCCTGGAGTGGGCCCGGGGGACCCGGAAGCCGGGCAGCTTGCAGGGAAGGGATGCACCGGGCCAAGGCAGGGGCAACTGACCCCCACTTATCTGTTGTTCCCTTTTCCTTTTGTGGCTACTGGATTCTTCTCCCCACTGGATGAGGGTGATGGGAAGAGGGCGTCTGGGGGCCTCCAGCAAAGAGAGGGACTCAGGGCTGCCTCCTGGGGAGCTGGCCCGACCGGCAGGCTGGAAGAAACGGTCTTGATCTTCGGGTACACTGGGCGCCAGTGTCTCTTCTCTGTCTCCGTGTCTCTCATACACACCCCCTTTCACAGACTCTCTCACACATCCCTCTTTCATGCGGCCCCTCCAGCTTCTCCAGCTCGCCCTCCCTCCGTTTCCTGGGTCTTGCTGTTCCCTTGCCCGGCTCTGGCTCTTACACTGAGAATCACTCATTCACTCTTGTGTGCACGGCTCACCCTCGCTGCGACCCAGCACACGCACGCGCGCGCACACGCACACACACACACCCCTGCTGCTGGGGACAGTTTCCTGCACTGCCTCTCGCATACTCAGTGTCCCTGTCACTACACTCACAAGCACACCTGCACACCCACACACCCAGAGCTCCTCATCCCCATGCCCACATCCCAGCTCTCACTCAGCTGCTGAGGACAGGGCCACACTGTGGATGCCGTCCCCTCTCCTGATGCTCCCCCCACCCGGTCTACCTCAATCCCTGCTCCCCACGTGGGGGCTGCTGGTGCCATGTCTCACACGTGTGTGAGCAGACACACACTCTCATTGGGATCGGCGTGTCGGCTCAGGCTGCCCTCCCATAGTCAGGTGTGAGTGTGGGGGGGCGTGTCTCGTGTGCTGTCTGTCAGTGCTCCATTCACCCACGGTCACGGGGTATCTCTTATCCCTGGTGCTTGGGATGCCTGTCCCCAGTCCACAGTTGACTCCCAGTGTCGTGTACATGTGTGTGTTTGCAGCCTTGTCACCACTACCCAGTGCATATGCAAATACATGGCATCAACATGGTGCCCACTCCAGCCAGCCTCCAGTGGCCTGCCCCAGAGATGGGAGCAGGAGTGGGGGGCTTGCCTTCCTCCAGCCCAGCTGCCCCCGGCCCAGGTTCCCATTCACTCACTGCCTCAGCATCGGCAGGAAATAATGCCCCTAGTAGGCCTACTATGGCTCCTCTCACCACCACCCATGCCTGCAGCCGCTGGGTCCTCCTGCCAAGGGATGCGGGTGCAGTTGGGTAGGAATGGAGGAAGGGACAGGAAGGAGGGATAGTGCTGGGTTGGGGGGCGCCAGGCTTTTGTGTGGCTTACATACCCTCTTCTAGGAAAAAAATCACTGCTCCCAAACCCAGGACTGCAGGAGTCCCCAAGGAGGAGGTGAGGTGTTGAAAGTGTGCATGTGGCCTTTGGGGTCCCTGGGGCCCCTCTGCCTGACATCCTCACCCCTCAAAGTTGGGGGGGGCAGACAGAGCCCAGTCTCAGCAGGTGCTGTGGGGGCAGAAATCAATGGGAGCTTTGTGTCCCTGAGCGGGAGTTTGCATCTCAGGCCCCGGTTGGGGGTAGAAACGAAAGGGGAAGTGTGTTGAAACCTCAGTGGGAAGGAGGGGAGGAGGGAGCAGGGAGAGATGGGTAAGGGGAGGGAAGCAGGGGTTTCCTGCCTGGCTCTAGGAAAGGAGGAGGTGCCTGGAGGTTATGGGAACAGGGAATCCTGAGGATGGCTAAAGAGGAGGGTGGACGTCCGCAGGCCTTTTCATACTCTGGGGCTGCAGAGGGGAGGGTGAGGAGGGTAGGCGAAGTTTGTGGGTTTCAGCTTTGGGGTTGCGGCATGCCTGAGAAGAGCGGAGGGACAAAGCAAGCACTGGGGGACAGGAATTCCCCTTTGGATCCTGCTTTCTGTGTCCCCCACCCAGTCTAGACGCCATACCCTTCTGCCCACACCCCATCCCCCATTTGCTGAGTCTAACTCTCCCTTGGACCTGGCCTTCTAGGCTTGAGTCTGCTGCAAATACAACAGGTCTGGGGTTATTGGCTGGGATGGCAGTCCATAATCTGTGGCAGTGGACAAGATGGGGGTGTCTTGTGGGGCAAGATTGGAGAAGGGGTAGGAGAGGAAGACATGGGGTCTCTACTGAGGACAGGAGGTCCACAACGGGCCCTGTGGTAAGAACATGCAGCTCATGCTGGGGATCAGTGGTAGGGAGACGGGTACAGGGACCAGGTGGCGAGGAGTCTGCCCGGGCACGAGTGGTGAGGTGGTCAGTGACAGTGACAGGCTTTGGGTAAGGGGCTGCGATGTGTTTTCTGTTGCTTTCCCTGTTTCCTCCCTCCCACTCCCCACTCTGCTGTGACCTTTCCTCCAGAATCGAAGTTAATAAATGTCACATTTTCCAGCCTATTTTTACTCCGGGTAATGCGCCCTCCCCCAGTCCCCTAAGCTGCTTCTCCTGCTTCCCTTACCACTGCAGTTGCTTCCCCCCCACGCTCCCTGATACCCCCTCACTGACTCCCAGTCACTCACCCAGTCAACATGGAGCTCGGCGTGCCTGCTCCGTGCCTGCTAGGTGGCGTGGGGGAGAACAAAGAAGGGAAGCCCCAGTCCCCAGTCCCTGTCCTCAAGCAGCCTACACTCTCGCGGTGGAGCAGAGACAGGGACACTCAGAAGCTTAACCAACCCTGCAAGAGTTAACCAGCCATGCAAGCGGTGTCATGAGGTGCCAGGATTAATTGCCAAAAGAAGTACATGAAGAGTAAGAGCCTGAGAGAGAGAGAGAGAGAGAGAGAGAGAGGCCACTCTGGGCTGAAGAAGGCTGGAAAGGTTCAAGGCATGAGGCAGGTCTGGGGAGTCTGGAGAGAAAGGGAGAGATCGGGAGATGCTCTTGGCCCCACCCATGCTCCCCTCCGCCCAGGGGCCCTTCTCCTCCTCTCCTCCCCTGCCCCTCCCCCTCCTTAGTCTCATCCCCACCCACTCCCACCTCGCCTCCTGCTCTCACCACCTATATGTTCTCTCCCTTCCTCCCAATTCCCACCACCATCTGCTCCCCCCCACCCTGGTGCTCCAAGCCCCATCCATACTTCCCCCATTGCGGCTTGCTCTCAGCCTGCCCACTTACTAGAAGGCAGAAATCACTCTTTCTCCCTAGGCTTCATTTCTTTAGTTGTAAAATGCTAGGCTGGCTCTAAAATTCAGCATCTCCTCTCAGCCCGGATTTGAACCTCAGCTCTCCCCTTCAAGCTGTGTGGCCTTGGAGAAGTCAAAAAGCTTCCGTTACCGTGGGTCCTATATTCAGTAAATACAATAGTAGAACCTAAAAAATTTGGGCAGTTTTAAGGATGAAAAAGATGGCTGCAAAGAACTTAGCACGCTGCCTGGTGGTGCATGTGTCTCTGGAAGCGTCGGCTCTCTCACCTGACTGCTACTGTTTCTGACCTCTGTGTCGGCAGCTTTGCCACTGGCCACCACCTGGCCTTCCCCCTGTCTCCACGCTCAGGCCCGGACCCTCCCCCTACACTATTACAGCATTGCCCTGCGACCCACCCCTCCCAAATATCCATGCACGCGTGCATGTGTGCACACACACTCTCCAGATCAGTGCTCTCCCACCAGACATCTCTGGGATGCGGGGAAGGTTCTGGATCTGTGCAGTCCAGTAGGGTAGTCACCGGCCACACTGGCTATCGAGCATCTGACGGGGGATTGGTGTGACAGGGAAAATGAATGGTCAGTTCAAACAGTCGCATGTGGCTAGTGGCAACCATCTTGGACAGCGTAGTTCTCGGTGGTCTGAGGAACGAGGCTCAGACTGCCAGAATGGGCTGGGCGAGGAATTCCAACTGGGGTCCAAGGATGTGAGGTGGTGGCTGTGGGCTCTGGTTGGAAGTGCCACCATCTCCAATCTGGGCCGAGGTTAGGGTCTGTGTCTGGGGACATCGAGGTGTCTGGAAACACCACATGAGCAAATAGACCTTTTTTCCCAGGCGCAGCACATGACCTTGGTCTTTTCTCTTCCATTCTATTGTCTGGAAAATTGAGGCATGGGGAAGGTGGAGAGTCCTTGAGGAGGCAGGGGTAGGACCTGGCCCCTCTCTGTGGGGTCGTCAGGGGTCCAGGCAGTCCCTGGGCGGGCAGGGGCCCAGGGACCCGTGGGCACTTCACAGCTCCATGGCTCTCAGACCTCCCTCCCCCTCCCAGCTCTCCTTCCCCACTCGCTGGTGACTGCCGTGACTATTAATCACTCGCCCTGTTCTCTTCCTCTCTACTAATCAGGCACAATTAGACAAGGCCTCTTCCAGCTGGGCAGTCCCCCCCCCCCCCGCCCTCCCCCCTCCTCTCCCAGCCCCACCCCAGCTGCCAGCCAGGACAGCTCTGAGGCAGGGGGAGCAGCGAGCGGGGAGGCCCTCTAGCACTCCCTGGCTCCCCCATGCCAGATCCTGGGCAGTCCTCTGCCTTCCGTCCTAGCTGCCTCCTGAGCCTGTGCCCTTCCCTGGTGTGGTCAGGCCAGTACTGATCATCTCTGCCCTGCCTCCTTGGTTGTGGGAGGGCTACCCCGAGAACATGCCAACTCCATACCTTTGCTGCTGGCTCCAGAGGGGCTGAGAGCTGCCCCTTATCCCCTTGACTCAAGAAGGGACGGGCTTCCCATCGAGGTTGGTCCAGGCAGACTAGCTTACCTCTTAGCCTCACCCTCTGTCCAGCCCTCTGTCCCCATCTGCTCCTGTCCTCTCC